AAGGAATAAAGAGAGGGTAGAAAAGGAGGGAGGGAGGAAGGAAGGAAAGAGAAAGGATAGATACAGTAAACGATAGAGATAGATTATAGATAGATATGATAGATAGATAAGATAGAGATAGCTATAGATAGCAATAGAGATGGATGGATGGATGGATATAGATATAGATATATAAATATAGATATGTAGATATAGATATAGACATATAGATATAGATATGTAGATATAGATATGTAGATATAGATATGTAGATATGTGGATATAGATATAGATATAGATATATAGATACGTAGATATAGATATATAGATATAGATATGTAGAAATACAGATATGTAGATATAGATATATAGATATGTAGATATAGATATATAGATATGTAGATAGCTATAGATATATAGATATAGATATGTAGATATAGATATGTAGATATGGATATGTAGATATATAGATATATAGATAGAGATATGTACATATAGATATAGATATAGATGGATGGATGGATGGAGGTCACGGTCTCGCTACCCTACGCCCACCCCTCTGAAATGGACCCCAACTCACGAGGCGAAAACGAGGATAAACATGCAGGAGAGCAGAACGCGTAGGATGGTGATGGCCGCGCCCAGCTGTTTCCCGCTCTGGTGCACCTGCTCCTTGACGTTGTCCACCAGGTGTTTGTGGGAAGAGAGGTTGGCCCCCACCAGCATCTCTTGGTGCTCTTCCTGGGGGGGGGGGAAGAGGGTGTTCAGCCGTGACTCCTGGGACGTGGCGACCGTCGTAAATATGAGTCAAATTGCCCAGCGTCCAGATTTGGATCGCGTGACCGCAGGGAATGCTCCGACGGTCCTAAGTGTGAATCGCGGTGCCAAGTCGCTTTTTTTCAGTGCCGTTGTAACCTACACCCCCCCCCCCCCCCGAATGCACAAGTTGCTTCAAACCCAGTTAAGCCAACATTGATCGATCCGACAGACCTGGATGACAATGCTGGCCGTGAAATCTTGGTTTAAGTTTTCCACCGAGCCGTTCACCCGGTCATATGTCTGGCCAAAGTTGCCTTCCACAGGGATCTTGTCTCGGCACCAAGCGTTCATCACTACAGGAGAGAGAGAGAGAAGGGTGGGGGAAATGACGAGATCGAGCAAGCGAGCCACGTTGCAAATATATATAGGAACGAATCCGGACAAGTCTCTTTTTTTCCTTGCAAAGCTATGTTTCTACCTGCAGGGAAGTCACTCACCTTTGGCCAAATGACAAAGGAAGCTGAATTTCATAGGAAGGCAGAGCAGGTGGTTGACTAGCGGCACGGCGATCGTCTGCATGCAAGACCGGTGTTTGGTCTGGAACCAGGCCTGGCAACGCTTCACGGCCTTCTGGATGATGCCTGCCAAGAGAGAGGAATTCCCACATGTCGCCAAGGATTGGAGAGTCCAAACGTCTCCAAGCGCAGGAAGTTTGGAAAACCAATTCCCTTCTAGGTACGAAAGCCGGCTGGGTGACTCTGGCCCAATCACCAGGAGATGGGGAGTTCTAGTCCCTATGAAAGCCATCTGGGTGACTTTGGACCGATCACCAGGAGACGGGGAGTTCTAGCCCGCCTTAGCTATGAAAGCCATCTGGGTGACTTTGGACCGATCACCAGGAGATGGGGAGTTCTAGTCCCACCTTAGGCATGAAAGGCAGCTGGGTGACTTTGGGCCAATCACTAGGAGACTGGGAGTTCTAGT